TTCCCTGCTGGCCTTCCTGGCAGGTGTTTGACTCCTGCAGTTAGCAAGGACATGCTGTTACAAAAGTCACGTCAACTTTCCTGTTAATCTGGGACTTGTGTAAACTGAAACCCGAAACCAGGTGGAACTGACCCAGTTTCAGTAATAAATTGATATTCTGGCCTGGTTTGTGAGAAAATTCCCAAAGGTTTTGTGCTGCTTTGGTCTCAGATGTTGCAATCTAGAGATTCATCTGGAGCCCAAAGCTAGTTTGTACCTGGGACTTGGAGTGGAACTGTTGGAAGGCCAGCCTGGACATGGCAAAAGGAGAACATGTAAACAGACCCTTCTGTAATAAAAATCTTTATCTCCTGCTTTTTAATKTGCCCCTTGCCTTTGGATTGCGTTGGCTCTCCAAAGCCCACGTAAATCATGGAGAATGTATCTGAAAGGGACTGGGAGGGTCCAATGACAGGGTAGTTGCCACTGACCTAAAATCCCCTTTAAACAGAAACATTGAGGTACTTCCTGCAATGAAAATGTCATTGAAGAGAAGATCTCTTGGTTTGCTTGTATTCATTTCACCTTCTTGTGAGACAGTTACGAAATGTTGCAGGACATGGCAGGTTACAAACTGAAGGGTTCTGTTTCCTCCAATACCTGCAGCAGAGGTAATGAACTTGGCAGCTCATCTCTGCTTGGTGTGTGGGCTGCTGCTCCCTGGGTTCCAGCATCTTAGACAAGAACTGGAGGGAAACCAGCTAACTCTTCAGGATTCATGTTATGCAAATTGTGAAATAGGGTAAAAATAACTATTTTCTATTACATTCTAGAACAATCCGCAGCAAAACCTTTCTCTTGCTCTTTTCAATATAAAAGGAAAGGGTCTGTTTTTACTGCGAGGATTCAGGCAAGTGTGATAATGAGTTTTCAGTTCCTAATTGTAACATTAAGGGGATATGTAGGAACTTTACCCTCCTTCAGGAGAGGAGCAAAATGTGACGTGATTTCTCTGGCATTTTAGTTTAATAAATCATCCTTTTTATCTTGTAATTTCTTTTCYAGTTAGCTACCAACTAGAGAATTTACAGGAGCAAGAAAGAGTAAAGACAAGGGTGATGGTTAGCCAGGCTCGTAATTATTGTAAGCTCTGGCTTAGAAACATTGATAATTAGGAATTTGGAAGGTAATTTTGCTAGATCTAACAATAGTTTCTTCCTTAGAAACTCTAGTTTTTTCCTTTGTGTCGGAACCCATTCACTTCAGCAGCAATTTTCAGAATGACAAAAAGACAGAGCCCAGGAGAGACCTTTTTTGTGTTGTGGGGTAAGCAGYTGTCTCTAAATGTCACATGTACATTCATAACATTACTGTAATCAACCTCTCGTTCTCCTTGAGGCTTTGCAAAGCTCTGATCATGTCAGCTAAGACACTCTGCATTATGGCTAAGTGGATAATCATTTGTGTTTTATTTACTCYGAACAAGTACACAAGCCATCATCACCTGGCAGGTGCTATGGGACAGGGACAATTCAAACTGTGCTAGCAAAAGTTATTTCACAGTTATAGGCAAAAAATTGAGAATTTAGCGGGTGAAAACAACCCCYGCACACCTCTTCCACCTCAATATGCTAAACTTAATATATGATTTGGCTCTTATTTTCCTCCAGTGMTGTAATCAGTAATGAATTACACCACAGACAATTTTCAGCTGTGTTGATGTGATAAGTTGCACTTGGCCTAGTGCTCCAAAGCTATCTATGGCTTTAAAGCATTCAATCCCCTCCATAACATATTATCTAATTAGTGTTGTCAARGGCTTAGTCAATTAAAGATAAACATGGAAAATGAGTAGAACCGGGGTGTCACAAAGGGCTTTGTGCATGCAGAGCCTTGTGATCGATCCGGTGCATTGCCACACGGCAGCAGAAAACAGGGCTCAGGTTTACTCATTTGCAGTCAACAGCAGACCAATGGATTAGGCTTGGTGTGACTCACACAAAACGGGGGAGCTGGCAGGATGCCCATTTGGAAGCGGCCTTGCTACATACGGTGTAGCATTTCACAAACACAGACATGTCCCCATTTTGCTTCACTCTTTCCACTGAATTCCCACCAACCTGTTCAGCGGAGCCTTCAAGATGTATGGCAGTGCCCAGCAAAGCGGCAGSAAGACCCTGGCAGCTGAGCCTGGCACCACGGCCAGCCCCAAGAGCTGAACCGTCATCAGCAAAGTCTGTCACATCTGCTRCTGGGGGGCACAATTGTTCAGCCCAAATGCCAACCTGGATGGCAGCTCAAATGAGGTTAGATTTTCACAGCGAGTGCTGCCGACAGCATGCCATGGTCTGGTGTCTTTGTTTGTCAAACCTCTAACAAATTAAGCTCAGTTGAAATACAGGTTCTTCCCTATTCCTTTAGCTTCCTTCCCCCCTTCCCCCCTCCCCCCCTCACTGTGGAGCCTGCACTGCTCCACACCTGCTGCAATTCATTCCCTTTAAGGTAGCATTTAGTGCTATTGGACAGGCCCCAATTGGGAGTGAAAGAGACGGGACAGGGTCAAAAAAAAAAAAAATCAACCCCCAGTTTTTACTCAGTATTTCCTGAAGCTTGCCCGCCAGAATTGTACCACAGGGGACAAACTGAGGAGTAAATTCGTGTGTGTTGTGTTACTATGTCATGATGGGGTGGGTAAGGCCAGTCTGTGTTTTATATGGGCCTAAGCCAAATAATTATTTTTAGGTTTTAATATTTTCCTTTTGTAATAGTTTACTTTTTAATATTTTTAATAATGACCACGTGCATTAGTGCATCGCCTGCCAAAGGTGTTGGGAAAGGTTTCAGCTGGGGAAAAGTTCCTGACTTATGGCCTTCATGGTGTTAAAAATGCTCCAGTTTCCCTGTCAGTCACTTGGACTTTAGTTTTACCTTCTGAGCTCACATAGCAACACCTGTTTGCTCAAGGTGGGACAGAATGAGCTGATATGCCTGCAGGTAGGGCCTGGCTGCCTGCCCACTCTTGAGGGGAAGGGTTTGCATTTAATTATAACCTAGGTCGGGCATGGCAGGCAAAAGCTGCTGTTGGTAGGAAGCTGCAGTAGAAATRTCTGTGATGGAAATAAGCCTGTACTTGTGTGCTGGGCAAAACATGCTCCACCAGCTCGTGGAGTTTATCTTGGTATACTAACAGCTCAGTTTACCCAGCTCTGCTCCTGGGAATTTGGGAGCCTTTGGTATTTTGTGTTGCCCTTCTTCCCTGGAAATCCCATGGCCAGGGCTGGTGTGTGTGCTGGAGGGACAGCTGGCTGCACAAAGATTATCAGGGGAAGGTTTAGCAGGAGCTGCCATATGAGCCCATTGTTGTCTGGAGAGCAGCATCCTGCCTGCTGAGGCTGCAAGTGCAGGTGCTTCCTTAGGTCCCCCTGACACCTTCTAGACATGTTTTTAGGACACAAGCCTGCAGGGCCTGGTCTCCTACATAGSCCTGGTTGGGCTGCCCCTGTCTATAGCCACTTTCCTCCCTGATACTGTAAAACCTGGCTGGGGCAGCTGAGGAGTCCTTTGTGACCAAGTATGGGTAGTGCTGAAAGGCTTGAAGGGCAGCTTTCAGAAATGTTTTAGGGTCTCTATGGTACTGCTGGTGCTGTAGTACTCCGAGTCTTGTATAAATACAGGTATACTAAAATAAAGRRGTACATGGAAATACCCCAGTAAAAGCCCTTCTGTAGTWAAGTAAGTAACTCTGGACTARCGCTCTGGTGGTGTTTTMAGTAAARCAGTATAGTTAAAAGCCATAAATATTTCAAGTGTATTTACGACCTCAGGAGCAACATGCCAGGTATTTTCAACAGTCTTTGTGCTTTTGGAAACTCCAGCTTCAGCTAAGAAGTGTCGATTTCCATCACTTCTCCCTAAATTGGCAGTGTTCAAGGTTGGACTTTGTGCACATTTGTTCCTTGGTGTGCTGGTAATGGCTGGTTGAATTTCCACCTTGCACCAAGCAGGACCTTGGGCTGCAGTGAGTCGGGGGAGTGGGCTGAGCTTCTCCCACAGAAATTGTCCTCACAGAARTTACTATATGACTTAAACCTTGTAAATGATGGTATCAAAACAAAGGCAACATTTTGAAATGTTTAATGAGGGGATGGAGTGGGAGGAGGAGAGAACATGGATTCCAGTAGAAAGGAATTTAGAAATGCAAGAGAAAAAGAGAAAACATTTGTGTGAACATTATCAGCAGTTTTAAAAATGAACAGGCAAATATTATATACYGAGACTATGAATGTGGAATTGACCTTTTAATTTCACTTACAAATAAGTGAGGGCTGGGAGCTCATGTCCCTGAGGGAAAACTGACATCCTGTATCTAATACCATCTGCAGGAACTGACTTCCAGGCCAAGCCCAGCTGCTGCTGCTGCTGTGCACGTTTGTATTTCGGCAGGGTATTGAGGTGGCAGTCAGAGATCGGCGAGGCATCCTTATTTACGTTAGAACCCTCCCCCTCCAGCGCACAGCCCATTAATCTTGCAGTAATACCCAGCACACTGATAACTGGGCAAGGAGCCACATGCACAGGGCATGTCAAAATCCTCAATATCGTCAAGTAACATAAACCGAAGTGACAGGAATTGGCTGTTTAAAGAACCTTTCGACAAAGCTTTCGTTTGTTCCCGGTGTGCTGGAGCGTACATCTCCCCGCGTCCCCTCCTCGGCTGGTGCTAAATACTGAATGAGCGCTTCTGTGTGTGTGCGGTGCTCCTGCAAGCCGACAGCCTCGCAGATAAATAAAGAAAAGTGCCCTCCTTTTCAAGTGATAGTAATCTGAGACTTTTCCGTTACATGAGGCTCTTAACAAAAGGTTGTAATTCCAGCAGCTTCGCTCGGGAAGGTGCCACCGTGCTCGGCGGCGGTGCCGGCAGCGCGGGGCCAGGACCCCGCGGGCAGCTGCTCCCGGGGCGCGGCGGAAGGACTCGCTGGGGCGTTGCATGAACCGGGCCGCTCTTCCCCTGCTCCTCCGCCGCCCCTTCGCCCTTGGTACAGCCTTCCTTTCCTCCACTGTGCCGTATGGTAATCGGGTGACATCAGCCCGCTCCCGGGCGGCTGCTGATTATATTACAAACCAGCAGAAAGGTCTGAGGTGTGCGCGGCTCYTGGGAGCGCCGGCCAGGGCGGCAGCGCGTGGCTCCATGCTGCCTTTACTTCGGACTGAATCGCACGCTTACTTTTATTTTACTTGGTTTTGCCAGAGCCAGACGAGCATTTGAACCAGATTTGAGCACTTGAGAGTTGCCTGTCGTGGAACTGGGAAAAAAAAAAAACCCACAAAAAAACCACCCTCCTGGTGCTTTAAGTTTGAATCCATTACAGAGAGCTTACCGCCAAGCCACACTGCTGGATTTTGAACCGAAGCTGTTATTTACTTAGGGCTCAGGGGGGAGCGTTTTTTGCTAGGGACTGACGCCAAACTACTGAGGAAGCTGGGATTTACCTGGATGTATGGTAAAGAAACTTGTGGTTCCTTTATGCTGCAGTTCATCGTATCCCTGCGTTACCTGTAAATGGAATTACAAAAATCAACCAGTATGCCCSGGCCGTTGTCCCCAGGATATGCAGCTCAGGTGCCGTATAACTATAACCAGTTAGAAGGACGATTCAAACAGTTACAAGGTAAGCCTGTGCGGGTTTTTTGTAGGTGTTGCTATGCTGGGATCCTTGTAAACATGTTAGTCTGGGCTTGTTCTCATTGCACCAAGGTGTTAGTGAGAGAGGACGAAAGCGGTGCTGTGGGAAAAATCTCTGAATTCTTTTAAGGGATACTTTGTAGCTTTTCTCACTCCGAAGGTGTGCTGAACCTTACMCAGGGTTAAGGTGTGTGTCCAGCTTCTGGGCCGCTCAGCCTTGCAGATGAGGACTAACTGTGTCTCAGAACAATAAGAGGGAGAGCAAGGAAACAGTCTTCTATTTATTTAATCTTTAAGTAAAATACAGTTGGAAATCTGGCCATCAATCATAACCTAGCTGTGTTTGGATACAGTTTGCAGTGCCCTTTCTAACCCCTGTGTACCTCCAGTAAAGGCGGGTGGCTTCACTTCTTCAAACGAAGAACAGTTGCATAATTCCCTAACGAATTAGTTTGCTCAYGCCGTAGATCTCTGAGAAAGCACTCATGTATGTTAACATTCCCAGTTTTCTTTGCTTTTAGACAGAGAGAATGTCCTTTAATGTTTTCCCATTAAATTCCCTGTCTGTGTAAGAAGCGGAGGTTTCTTTTGGGGGTGCCGTGTGCTCCCTGCAGGAAGGGTAGGCCTCGGCCCAGGCTGCAAGCCCCCAGTGCAAGGGGAGGGTCGTGCCCTGCAGCTCCCTACCTCAGGCAGGGTAAAACAAGCTCTGCTGTTTCTCTGYGGAAGACACATCCCAGCAATGAATGAACTCCAGGACTGCATTTGCAAAATAAAAAAGAATTCTTCACTGAAACCAAACCTCCTCCTCTCCTGGATCCATGTGACTCCGTAGATAGTCCCAGAGCAGCCTGAGTACAGTGAAGTGCTGCCCTTCTGTGCATGTTTCTTAATTTACGCTGGTCTGTGCTGCAAGTGTGGTCTGTGGTTTCTGTCAGAGGGGGAAAGAGCCTGGTTAGCGCTAAGAATGTTCCTATTTGTTGGCTTAAGGAGACAGGGAAAAAAAAATCTTTCATTCATAGCACTTTGTTTATCTTGTAAACTAGTGAACAGCAATGGCTGCATATTGCATGTAATGAGACAAAATGACAGCATCCTAAACACTGGGAACATGGAAATTCCTCGGCAAGGCTTGGAAAATCCAGGCTCAAAACTTGCACACAAGGGAATACGTTACAGGCTTTATCTTGGACATCTGTCAGATCTTAGGCAGTGGTACTTCAGTTAGAAAGAGCTGAGTTTGTTACATGAAGAAAAACCTGCCTCATGCGTCTTTCTTTGCTGGTTAAGTTAGCAGTCTAAAGAAGGCAGATTTTATCATTTTCAGGGTCACTGCTTCAGGAATCCATTATCTGTGTGTTTACATCACACTGAAAGAGGAAAGCAGACCACATTGTTGAAAGCACTGAGTTTTCCCTTCAGTGGAATGCATTGAGTTGACTTAAAAAAAAAAAAAAAGTTAAAAAAAGATGCAGTGCTCTCCCTAAAGTACTGCAATTTCCTCCAGCAGAAGAGATAAAATGCAGTAAATACTATGCAGATTTGCAGCAGACCATCCTGTGCCTGTTTACTCTCATCACAAGCTTGAAAATGAGTGCTGCCAGTGATCTTGTTCAGGGTGGAGCTTAGGTGCAGGCAATGTTGTAAATTAAGCACCAGATACTCCATGAAATGCTAAATAACCATACAAAATATCGTGTGTGCTGAAAAGGGAGTGGCTTARCTCTGCTGACACTGAAGATGTCTTTCCTTGGGTTAGTTGTTGGCCCTTTGCCTGAAGAAAGCCATTGTTTCGTGGTTGTAAGATTTTGTGGGGACTCTAGCTGGAAGGTTATGGTGTGAACAGGGAGTGTTCTGTGGCACTGGGCAAGGCTCAAGCCTAAAAAAGATGAGCTGAATATATGTAATTTTTTAAAATTGCAGATTTATCAGCAGTTTTACTTCATTCAGTATGGAGGTGTACAAACGTAAGACCAGATGCATTTCAAATAAATACTCCTTGATAACTGTTTCACCCCTCCTGCTTCTTGGGTAGGAGGGCTCTCTAGAGCAGCACCTGTATTGACACCACACAGGTTACTGTAACTTCTGCTTCTGTTCTTTGCACATTGAATTTACCCCTCTTATTTTCACAGTTCCTAAAGTTATTCTGTGAATCCAGACATTGCACTAGATTACATTGCACTAGATTATGGCAAGGTACTGTTTATATCTAGTGAATGTGGAGTTTTCCTCAAAAAAAAAAGTATTTGGGAGTATACTTGTTTTGTTTAAAATAACATGGAGCAAGTGTTCAGGCCCTGTAAAGAGAAGTCTGAAGCAGCAGTGAGCAGAAGACAGTTCTCTCTGGTCTCCTCTTTCCTAAGAAAGACAATACACGAGGTTTGGCACTGCCAGTTTCACATGAGGACAGGAGCGAGCTTATTTCTGCCCAAAATGCTATGGACAAAGCAAGTTCAGGTCATACATGATTCCCTAGGCACTCTTATGTTCCACCTSTTTTAAATGCCTTGAAGTGATGATTGTAAGAAAACTCTCATTCGACTTGATGATAGCTGTGGRGTGATCAAAGCAGATTTTCCAGCCTAGTCCCACTGGGGCATGAAGCAAGTGCAAGTTGTGGGACTGCATGGAAGGGACCGTACCGGCTCCTTCTGCCCCTAGAAGGGTCACCTGGCAGGAGACCAGCTTCTGTTTGCCTTGATGGGCCAGAGAGAAGCAGGATGTGGCAGAAATCATTGCTAGGAGTCTRTAAAGGCTGTCTTGGTGTTAAAAAAGATCCTGAAGTGCTGTGTATGATAATCCAGAAGTTTAGCATACCCRGTCCTTGAGCTGGTGAGAATATCAGTGCAGGTATGAGGAGAAGAATGCTTTAGCAAGTTGTGTTTCCTTTATTAAGTTTCAGTAAGTTCCTATTATGGTTAGTTCACCCGGTCCTGGAATAATAAGTGAGTGATACTATCAATGGTTGCTATCATCTTAAACCTAGGTGTGGAGTTTTGGTTCTCATGGCCACTTGTGCAGTAGAAAGGGATCAGGTTGCACAGCTGGAGTTGCTTGCTGCAAGTAAAGACAGAACCCCAAAACTTGTTTGTGGGAAACACGTTACCATGGAGCTTGTGCAGGTTATGTCAGTGGAGAAAGTTTGTCCTGCTACATTGAGGAATTAAATGCAAATCAAACCAGACATGTTGTTACTATAAAACGAAGGCTGTCACTTGTGGCAGGATCCTGTGGATTGGCTGGGCACCGATGTAGTAGCTGGCAGGAAGAGGTTAATACAGGTCAGGAATTTGGAAGGAGATCCCTGCAGCTGTATCATCTTGCAGCAGTACCGGTGCACAGGGAAGCAGCTATCATCACTGCTCCAGGGGCTCTTTCCCACCTGGTTAGCAGGACAGTGGTATTTATTAACAACTCTGGCATTCGGTAGCTTGGTGACTTTATCAGCTCCTGCYCTGTCATTGGAAAGTTGGGTCTCAGCTCCGGGGCTGTGCCTGAGGTGTGAGATTTCCAGTGGTAATTACAAATGTGAGATCTTGGGGGATGGGGGTGAGCTAGATTGGCGCTCCTGATATATCCCAGGGGAAAACCAGCTTTCAAAGGAGCTCTGCTGTGTGCCCTGCTGTGTGGGACATTTCATGTTTGGCTTTTTTGTAATGCTGYCTTTCAGGGTGGAAACTGGGCATCTTATTGGGAATGCCTTTATTTTGAGCTGTGTAGGAAATAGTATGTGTGAAAAACTGGACATTGGAATAAGCTGTAGGGACGACGAGCTGCCTTTCCCATCAGAGGTGTTTARGATCATTCTAAACTCTGTTTCTTGGGGATACAAGGTTGACTATGGCTGCACAGCACTACCTACACCAGGAAAGGCAATGCATTTTGGGTGCTTGKGGCAAAGCCCCTCTCTGGTAGCAGAGCTCCATGGCTTGAAATCCTTTGGTCTGCAATAACCTAAGAAGGTTTGGCATAAAAACAGACACACACCATTTCTGTTTTTAAGTGGTCACTTGTAATCAACTTGACAATATATGAATATATGTACAGGTTGATTCCCATCCAGGCTGCAGGACAGCAGGAAAATTTTCTGGGTTTCCTGTTCTCAAGCAGGGCTTTCCCACAGCTTTTCCTGCAAGAAAATCCTCCCCRCAAATCCCTGTCTATGCTCAAGGTAAAACATGGAGCTCCTGGTGCCAACAGAGCAGTTTGAAGGCAATTGCAGTGCTGTCCTACACTAGAGCAGAGATGTCCTCTGTGACACCAGGATGCTTGGAGCTCYTCCCGTAGGTGCCCTTTGAGCACCTTTCAGCAGTCGCCTTCCTGGTTSAGAGATTGACCTTGTGAAGGCTTTGAATCTCTTGGGAGCAGTGACCTGCATAGCTCCAGGCACTGATTGCTGACCTGGGACACTCTACTTTGTCTACCAAATTAGTCACTGGCATTTCTTGTCATGGTAATTTCTGTTAAAGCTGAAATGCAGGGAGGCTGAAGTTCATTAATTTCATTCTGGATGAAAGGTGTCTGGGTTACACAGACTTTTGCTCCCACCCCCCTTCCCTTCTCAGATCAACCAAAGCTACCAACTCCTGTTCCTGTGGCAAATTTTGCTTGATTTTCTGGTGTCTGCARCATTCCAAAGCTTGCATGTGTCACAGCACACTTCAGTCTTCTCRTTTGGGTGAACACTTGAGCACAAGCTGCGCAGTTGGAAGCCCTGTCAGATTTGCAAAGTTTTAAAGGGACTCATTTGAATGTGYATTTCTCTGATAGCTGGGCCCTTAGTTTTTCCAGTGCAAAGATTCCTGCAGACATACCCAAATCCTGACTTTTTGGGCAAAAATTTACCTTTTCTTGTCATAGGTTTTGGTACTTGTGGAGGTAGGGAAGGCATGGTGAAAGAGCTCAGGGTAAGGTATTTCTGCTCATGTGATCAGTGTTGATACAGGTCGAAAAGTAAACATTTAAATTGGATTTGGCTCCTCACTG